TAGGGCGGGCTAGCAGAAGAGGCCAAGTAGCACCATTCAGCATACTGAGTGCCCTTCTGCCTAGTGGGTCTCAGGCATGTATTTAGCGCAATATTTGCAATCCATTCCAAGTCCAGAACTTGAGCAGTTCACATTAATTAAAAATCTGTAAGGCAACCCAACGCTCCTAGCCATAAATGTCATAAAATCACCTAAACACAGAAAACTTGGACAAACAGCACAGTGCTGGTTTCCAAATGCCTGACAGTCCAATGCCTTAACTGCCATCCTAAAACAACTGGGGGGGGGGGGAGATTCCATGAAGATGGGGCAGTCACCGAGAAAGCCTGACCCCAGGCTCCCACCACTCTTGAACAGACTTTGAGGGACAGGCAGACTGATTTTGAAGGAGATGGTCCCCAAGCCCAGCCTTCTAACTAGCCCTTTGACTTGTACTTACAACCCTATCCATACAAACACAGTGCCCGAAGTGCTGGTGTTCTCCTGCCAACAGGAGGGGCCACAACTGGCACACCAGCAGAAGACATGAGAGGGGTCCAAAGGTGCTGCCCTTCTGAAGGACTAGGTGGGAAGAGCTCCCTACTTGGGAGCAGGCAGGTCCTCCACAAGACTTCTCTGCTGCCAAAAGAACACCTCTGCTTTTTCAAGTTAACACTTCCTTCTCTGGGATCTGCCCAAGAGCAGGGCGTGACCAACTCACTTGTGGAAAGACAGGCTGGAGGCCGCACGCAGGTCTTACCGATGTAGCCTTTGGCACGCACCCAGAAGAGCTGCTTGGGTTCCTGGGGGTTCTTGTGAAAGAAGTCGGGTGGGTTCACTGGCTTCATCTCAATGGGCACTTCCTGGGCCAGCATTCTTCTGAGACCCTGTCGGTATCTCTCTAGGAGGTTTGGATCCCTTTGAAAAAAAGCCAGCGTGAGATGGTTGGAAGCCACGGAGGCTGTGACGGCGCTGTACTTTCTGCCAGAGGCATGGCAAAGTTGAAGCAGAGGGGGGATGGCTCCTCACTCTCAGCTGCAGCAGCCTCGGCTTGACCTGCCCACAGCCCTTCTTGGAGGCCCAAGAGTCTACCCTGCTGCCAGCACAAAGCCACAAGCGCAGCTTGATGGGCTCCCAGCGGCCAGAGATACAAGTGCCTCCAATCAATTTCAAGCCAAGGGCAGAGGCAGAGCTGAGCTCAGCACCCAGGGCCAGTTCCAACGTTCCTGGGTGGGGAGGTTGTGGTCTTCTCCCTGGGCAGCCAGGAGCCACAGGGGGCATCTCCTACTGAAGCCCTATGGCTTTGCTCTTGCCATACCCCAAACGTACCGCTGGTTCAGCCCTGCTCCTCCCAGCCACTCACCGCAGGTACCTCTGGATTAGTTGCTCCTGAGTCAGCAGTTCTTCTGGGAGAGGCACAGCTGGCATGTGGAACTGGTGCTGCACAGGGCTGGCCTGAGCCCGTTGGAAGGAAGCCTGGCATATGAAAATGGGCTTCCCATGCTGGATGGCCTTGACTGAACGCACAGAGAAGCTCCTTCCGGTGCGGGTGCGCTCTACCTGATACAGAACTGGCACAGTGGGGTCCCCTAGAAGCCAGAAGTGCCTGCAATGAGCCCCCCAAGGAAACACTGGGTTGCCATGGGAATAACCCTTGCACTCTCCATTTCTCTTCACTTCCTCTTTGTCCTAAGGTAGCTGGCAATCCGTTATCTGCAGCTCCTCCGTCATTCACTCTCCTGTGAAATGGCTGGCTGGGTTCATCTGCGGATCAGGCTAAAATAGGGCTGGGGAGTCTTGGTTTGTGTGTTGCAGGAGCCCAGTCTTCGTCTCTACAGGCTGAGTGAACCAGCCTCTCGCTTCATACCATAATATGATCATTAGTTTATTAGGTACAGCATGATACGTGAGTCCAGAACTCCTCTTTTGTTAACCCAGGTGTAGGCTTTAGCCTGTTTTGCATATCAGCCATAAACCTGTAAACTGCATGTTTGAGTCATCTGAGTGATATTTTCTCCGCCCTGCACCCCCAGGCAAAGCTGGAATCTTTTCTCCCTCGTATGTTGGGCTCTGTCAAAATTGAACAGGGAGTGACGCCCTTTCCGGCAAAATTTGATCTGGCTAAGTATGGAAAGGAAGTACCCTTGTCATCCATACTCACAAACACACACACACACACACACAGTCAAGAGAGTCCATGCCAAAACAGACTACAGCATATTTACATTTTACTTTAGCTTAGCACATTTTGTAAACCTAGTTGCTATGCTTTGTAAACCATGGTTTACAGCTTAATATGTTGCACAAACCCAACTGTACATTATTCAACAAATCATGGTTTAGATTTAACCAAATTACACAGCTGGATCCACACAACATGCTAAATTCAATCTGCGGAGCATAATCATTCTGCCCCCTTAATTTTCTATGCCCAAACAAATACACCATATACATGCTTAACGTGATGGCCTACTCACCCAACATGGAATGGTGCCCCCTTGGAGATCCAGATGGCTCCAATCCAGTTAGCCTCTTGCAAGGCTCTGAACAGACCTAGCTGTTTCACCAGACATTTGGGCCAGGAACTTAGGCAAGTCCTGATCATGATGATGTGAGTTTCTGTGACCGGGGCTATTGTTCTAACCTTGGGTCCATGGGTTACACATTGTGGTTTTCGCTTTAATCCTTATACATGCTGCCCAGAATCAGTGTTGTGAGATGGGCAATCATATAAATCACTTAAATAAATAAACTACCCAAGACCAAGACTGGTTCCCCACAACTGAACCGCAAATTGCCCACTTTCGTTATCTGAGCATGTCCTGCTCATCGACCCATGACATGTCAGCTACTGAGACCTGCCAGATGGAGTCCCAGCTAAAAGATGTTCAACAGTTATTCGTATGGACTTGGGGAAATGATTAAGAGGAGAGAGGAATAGCAACCCTAACAGCAGAAGACGGGACTCCCTCCGCCCGCTAACGGTTCCAGTCGACAGCCAGGGAGGTGCAGACTCCGCCACGCGTTTTCTGCGGGTTTTCTTGGATTCTTAACTGGCCGCTGTTAGTAGGACCGCTTGCCCTACAGCATCGTTCTTCCTCCTAAAATTTGACTGCAGAATTTTGCCCGAAGCCAACAAAAGGAAAATGCGGGCTTACCGCTAACCTTTTAAAAGTACGGTGCGCGGCTAGAGCGCCGGAAGGTTCTAGGCCGGCGTGACCGCCGGAACAAGCCCACCGCTGCGCCCGCTTTTACGCGCCTAGAACTTTATCTGCCGCCCCGCAACACCCCGGCCCCGCCCGCCACCC